TTCAGCTGCAGTGCTCGCTGGCATTATGATTAGTTTTTTTTTGCTGTTGGTGTCAAATAGACAGTTAAAATAGATAACAAATGGCCAACAGTGATTTGTTCGAAAAATATGAACCGAAAATCAATATATATTTTGTTGAAGATCTAACCACAAAATCTAGATCTCGAGTTTTGCTTTTACGATCATACATCGCGTTTAGGTAAGCTGCTGCCCTGGTCAACACTCGTTCCTAATGCAGTTGGTCGTCGCACTCTGTCCAAGCACAAGACGAATAGCCGACACCGATCACAAATGGTGTCTGGTGCGTTCTATCTTGGCCGGCCGACCTACCGTCAGCTGTTGTAAGGAAGATTAATTGTCGGACAGATGACCAGACACTCACAGAGCGCATCATCTTCTCTGACTTACTCCCGTCCTCTCTCTATTCTCCTCTACTCTCCCTCATCTTCTCGGTGGTCAGGTCTGCAGAGTCTACAGTTGTAATCACAAACACAAATCATCCCTCTGAAGCAAACGCCCAACACGGGAAGTCGCGTCCCGTGCACGCAATTGGCTCCACCGTTACGTGCGCATATTAGCACAGCCGTATTGGTGAGTGCCGGGGTCAGAGGTCAACCGTGGCACGTTCTGACGAGGTCAGGGGTCGCGGCGGCGGCTACGGCGGCTGCGGAACGTCCAAGGTCGGTATCACCGAACATCCAAACGGGGCCGATGACGCTGACAAATCGGCGGAGCAAACGAGCAAGAAAGGCGAGGATTTACGGCCGGTTTCCAGGATGGAGGGACATGAGTGGCGCCGGGCTCTGAACGGGACGAATGGAGGCGAGGGAAGATTGGCTTTTGGCGGCGTGAAGAAGGAAATCATCACGTATGGCTGTCACGTTGTTGTGCTACAATTGTCTGCACTTATGGTCATTATTTTAGCGTGCTTTAATCAAGCCTAATTATTTGATTGTCAATAAATCTTGTGAAGCATTCGCTTAAATTAATCCACCAGAAAGCAAGCATAACCACTGGGTACCTATGTATATTTCTGGTCAAAATGTGAAATGTTAATGAGCTATTAATGTATTCCTTTTTTGCTTATTTGCAGGCTGACAGACGCCATTGCTTGAACAGTTCGCCATTTGACTTTTGCATCGGGCATTGCTATTTAGGTATAGCATCTCATTGATTTGCAATTACAACCTCCACTAGCTGTCACTCTCAAAGCTCACACGCCGAGCTCACCCTCTTCGATTCCCGGCACTGCGGCTCCGCGAGGGCTTTGATGACCATCTTAAAAGGAGATCCTGTTTCAATGACGGATCTCACTCCGACACTGACACGACAGCACATCCATCGAGCCAATCACGTGGTCTGATACTACCGCGGCCGATACTCTGAGCGACACCAGACCGCCGTACCTCTGATCCGCCGACAGTGACTCGAGTCAGTCCCGTTCCGACCAGGACTCGCCGTTCCGAGTGACTCGCACGTGCCGTCCGGTCCAGCCCGAACAATGGGTGTCTGATAGCGGCCGACGCGGCGCACGGGATCACCGCCGCTCGCCGACGCGCACGCATGCCGTCTCGGTTCGTATTAGCTGTCCCCGATGAATGGCCTGAACGTGGGTTGATCGTATGTAACCGCGAGTCGTGCCATCACTCACAACAAGAGTGGGGTGGCGCCGCCGCACGCATGCAGCGGAGAACGCGCATTGAATAGAGCTCTGTGTTGAGGAAACTATTCCAAGTGTAGCGTCTTGAGATGAAAAGAAAACCAATGGGCAACACGCAATGCTGATCATAGTTTGCTATGGAAATTCGCGGTCATAAGATTGTCGGATATCTGAGGCTAGTATATCAAATAAAGTTAGTGAGCCAGATCATGTTTGAGTAAAAAAAAAGGTACTTCTTCGATGCTTGATGTATGGCATTGTAAAAAAGAAAGCGGGATTCATCCGCTGCTATTTAGCTATCTGCTGACCTGCTAATTCAGGAACAATTGCAATATGAATGCTAGATTTCGAAGAAAAAGTTTGTTACTGGTCGGCAGTCACTTATGCTCAGATTTTTACCTACCGGATTTATTGTTACGTTTTCTTTTTAATTGCTCTGCATCACCTCGAAGCAAGTCACAATATATCAGTGGCTTCCATTATCCCTTAGCCCTCACTGTGCCTCATGACGAGACTATCATACCGCAGCGCTCAGGTGGTGTTCGTACACTCTATCTCGGCAGATTACCGCCCGCTCGCGCTCTCTGTCGTCCCAGAGGAAGAGTCGCATCCCCCGTGACGTGTCCTATTGCCTTCTTCTCCCCCAGTCGGTCGCCGCGCGAGGCGGGCACCCCTTCGATCGTGCCGCACTCCCCTGCCTTTGGGCACGTCTGAGCGTCCCGCACCCTCTCCCTCCGCCGCTAACCCCTGTGTCTTCCCGCCTCGCCGGTCTCCCCGTCGTCCTTCCTCAGCCATAAGCGAGATTGATCGAAATCCGGCTCCCCCGCCGGGAGATCTTCTCGGTCGCTTGTCGCGTGCAGGCTCGCTGCGCCTGAGATGACGGCGACGCGGCGACGTCGGTACCGACGAATGGTGGCGTCGGTACCGACGAATGGCGCGTGGGGTGACTCGGGACCCGGGTTCCTTGCCCCGTGACTGACACAGCCGACGAACGGTCGACAAACACAAAACGAATTATTTGCATTACTGATATTTGGCAGTATTAGTTAACCCGCGCCCTGCTGGGGGTCCTGGATTTCCACGCCCTGCTGGGGGGGGGGGGTGTTTGAACACCCCCCCCCCTTCTAACTCGGCTCCTGGGCCACGTAGCGATACGCGGAAGGCGGCGTTCGAAAGAGCGTCAAAAATAATGACGAAATCACTTCGGTCAATTTTTTGGTCAGGTCAAAGGTCAGGTCACCAGAGGTCATTGAAGGCAAAATTTCGCCGATTTCCAGGTCGAATGTCGACAATTTCCAAGAAGCCAACGCATTACTCGGGAACCAATAGAGCTACAGCGCCGCGGAAAAGCGCATTCGATAGCCCTATTAACGCCCTTTCTGAATAATTCTCTCAGATTTGACCTAACGTCAACGGTTTTGCCTGCAGGGGGCAAAAACTGCAAAAATAGCCGATTTTTTCGGAAACAGTTTTTCTGCAATAACTTTTGACCCAAGCCTTGTACGAGCTTACTTTTACCGGCATCGTGTTCCTCTCGTCAAGACGCATCGAATGAACTATAACTTGACCTTGAAAGGTCAACTTGAAAATTTGACCTCAGGTCAAGGTCATGACCTGACCGGAAAGGGTCATGTTGCATATCAGTCGATCCGTATCGTCGAGCTGAACACATCTAAGGCGTTTTCATCGCTCTAGCATGCCTCTATCAAAATTTATTTGCAAAAAACTGTTGGATACCATTCGTGACCTAAGATGACCTCAGGGCATAAACAGGGGTCACGGACACCAATTTCATGTTCAGTGTGTCTAAACCACTTATAATTCAGTGTTTGGGAGTGTTTATAATGTCTTTCGTCCAAAGAAGGCGCATTTCAATTTTCTCCCATTGACTTATAACCCAGCCAGCAATTCGCTTGGGCTGAACTGTGGCAGGCGTCGGGCAGCTTGGGCTTAGCTTGGGTTTGCCCACTTTGATCAAAACCAATGTATTTTTTACTAGGGCTGAGCTGGGGCATGCCGCAGCTATGCCCACGTGCGGATAGCAGTAGCTCAGCCCGACATCTGCCCGCGCATCCAAAACAGGCTTAACTTGGGCGGAGCCCGGGCTGATCAAGCTGGCTGTGTCCTTCGGCTAACTGGAGTAAAGCCCGAGCTTAGCCATACTTGTTCGGCTGTTCGCGCATGCGCAGTTCTGCGCCAATCATGTGCAGCGTTTGTGACAGTCTGTGCGCTGTGCGACGAAACGACACACCGGTGTTGGGGCATTTGGTGGTTGATGTTTGGGCGCGTGTGACAGCGCGAAGAAGGGATAGTGCTCACTGCTCTTATCAAGTGGACTGGCATGGAGTTTTACGGTAGGTAAGTGTATTGAATGGTGCGCTTGATCGTATGTAAACGTCATGATTTTGACTGAGTTTGACGCCATCAAACATGAAGCTGAATAGCTGTTCAGCCTGGCGACTTATACCCTCGCTCAGAAAAGCTGCATTCCGTGCCTTTATATCTTTGTGAAATACCAGCACTTCTGACCCAGGAAAATGAAATACAAAACACAAATATTTATCTACTTATCACCGAGCACGCTCATTCTCTGTCCGCATTTAAAATCAAATGAACATTTTATACGGATCAATGAGAAGTGTTTTTACAGTATTAATGGATCAATAAGTTATTTTTCAAGCAAACATGCAATGTAAATTAAACCAATTAATCTCTTTTTCAGGTACGTACCATTAGAGCAAATGGTTCCAAAAAATGGAATAGTTATACAAACCAGGACCGGGTGGACGCCGCAGTCGCCCTCGCCAAGTGGTTTAGCGGAAACTGCCTGCTTATAATTAAGTAGGTATACCTACATATACGGAAACTGCGCCGAAAGCTGGCCGACCACCTACTGCAGATGTGTGTGTGTGGAGGAGCCAGACGCCTCCAAAGCTCCCATTCACCAGAGTGAAGTTCCTTATAAACGATTGTTTGCTTATTGCATGTGTCTTATGAGCGATTACTTGCTGTCCTTACTTTATGCTTTCAGTTGAGTGTTTAACCAAGTATTATGAACGGGGAGGGAGGCTAGCGGGCCTTGTGATTGTTTTATAGTTTTGATGGCGTTTTTTCATGACTCATGCCATATTACTGCTGCAGTTTGCAGTCCACTGTTTCATGTATTTGTGTTTCATTTGACGTGTCTGTAGTCGTTTGAAATATACATTTAATCAAAGTCAACCACTACTTGTATGTCCAATGCCCAGTGTACACACATCTATCATCTATGACATGACATAAAAACACACACAAAAACACGCTGCTCATTCAATCACTCAGATGCTACCATACTACCCACCCGGCTCTACGTACCCCGACACTGCGTCCCGTTTCATTTCAGCCAGCAGCGATGCGTAGGTGGCCAGCCGATTGGGGCGCGGCGACCCTGGCGACACTTCGGAGCAGCTGGGCGCGATGCTCAGGAGCTGGTCGGTCAGCTCCTGAGTAGTTGCCACTCTCTCATCGACTGACCGGGGAGCGGCGCGTGGCTTCAGGTACTGCGCCAGCTCGGGGTCGTCCAGTGGGTTGCGGCTAGGCAACGCGCAGTGCAGCTCACCGACGCCCAGCGGCTCCTCCCGCAGCCCGTTGCGCCGGTTTTGCACTGTCCGTCCCCTCCACGTGCCAGTCTCTTGTTCCCGCCGCTTCTGCTGCACCTCATGTTCAGCCGTTTGCAGGATGCTTGCCGCGTTTCCTCTGACAACAGCCAGAGCCAGCCGCTGCCAAAGCCAGGCTGTCTCTCGACGGTCTTCCGTTACGGAGGCGATCCTTGCACCGAGCTCCCGAACAAACACCTTTGTGGAAGGACCACAAGCTCCAGATGTCTCGAAGGCCAGAGGTTCAAAGTGGAAGCGCTGCGTGAGATCATCGTACTTCTTGCGCTTCTTGACTTCAGCTTCGCGTGCAGCTGTTCCGGCTGAGGTAGCGGCTGCCAGCACATGGCTATCGGCGTATGTGTTGACGCACGTGGCATCCCAAGCTAGGCACATACCGTTTTTGAAAGGAAATATGCTGATGCCGTCGGGGCGCTTGCCGTCTCCACGGTCAACTCCTGTTGGCTCCAGAAGAGAGGGAATCCTTGCCGACTGCAGTGCTCGCCTTACGATGTCGTTCAACGCGGTGTGTCTAGGGTGTCTCCCGGCGCTGAACTTGCAGGTAAGGGCATGGTATCCCTTACTGTCCGCTATTGAGCCACATCTGCAGCGGTGTGGACGGCAGACATCGGCTCCCAAGCGAAGGGCGATGGCAACTCGCAGGGTTTCTCGGTCTAGAAGTGTTCCCAGGTTGGCAGACGGTGCAGCATGGAGCCATGCACCGCTTTCTGGTGCTGCAGTGCTCAGCAGACGAGCACGATCATACTGATTTGCTTCTGAGAGCAGTTTTTCCTGCTGCTGTTTTGCCAGGACTGCATCCCATGCCTTTTGCTTCAGCTGTTCGTCTCTTTCGGGTACGTTTTCACCTCCAGCTGCCTCTTGCCAGTCGTTGACGGCCTTTTCACGCTCTTCTGTGACACATGCAGTCATAGAGTCTGGTAAACAGGAGTAGATGATTCCATGGCAGGCATGCAGTGAAGAGACGTAGCTTGGTAGAGCGACATCGACCAGGAGCCGGAGTCCGAGACCGCCATATCGAGTCGGGAGAACAGCCTGTTCCCAACTGGCTCCTGTGAGCTGGACGTTGCTGATGCTTGTCAGAGCCGACTGCATGACTGCGTCCAGCTGGCTGAGCAGACTGGCTTGCCGGTAGAGTGGAGAAGCTCGCAACAGATATTGAAGCTTCGGTAGCCAGATACAGTTGCGTAGCAGGAAGAGCGCGGTGTGGGCGTCCAAGTGATGTAGGCGCTCTACCATGTGCTTGAGCTCACCCTGTTTTTCTTCCATGACGGTATCGGCTGCTGCTTCAGTGATGGGAGCGCCAAGAATGGTCTGCTCCGAAGCGCCGAGGACAGCTGCACCTGGGATAAGCTCGTGAATTCTTCTCACTGCCTGCATTGCCTCTTCATCAGCGCTGCCATCTGGCAGAATTATCTCGCACTTCCTGGCGTTGATACTGAGACCGATGCTGGCCATAGCCGGTATTAGCTTCTGCAGGTCCAAACAGATGGTGCTGACCTGGCCACCGATGGTGCCGTCGTCGAGGTACCAGCAGTTGAATGGTGCCGTCACCCCTCTGGCCACTTGGTCAATGGCCAGCGCAAACACAGCGGGACCACACGGGTCACCTTGCTGAAGTCCCGTGGCCGATGTGATTGTTGCTGTTTCGTAGAAGAGTGGAGTTGGTGCGCTGTATGCTTGCCACAGTAGGTGGAAAAGTGACGGCACACGCTCTCGAACTTGGTGTAAGAAGTGGTCCTGTCGTACTGCGCTGTGGGTAGCGCGTGGCTGGACGGACGGTCCGTGACAATCTATTGATCTGTGGCTGATCTATTAGAGTGTCCGTCCGAGAGCCGTACGACGGCTGACAGAGCCTGGGGGTCGCGAACTGGTGTGGTAACCGTTACGCCCACCTGGGACGCCCGAGTCGGTACGGCACTTGCGGTGTCGTAACCGGATCGGCGGGAACCAGCAGAACGCTGTTGGACCGGCGGTGAAAGTCGGAACCGAGCACTCGCCCACCAGTGGGGCGTCTGGTCGAGCAGGTCTACCCGCTAAGGCAGCCTGAGCACGAACCAGTGGCAGGGTCCGATCAATGACCGTGGTCCGACCAGGGTGTCAGCGCAATGGCCAGTCAGAGGCGTCTTTAAGGGCGCAGAAGCCCACCTCGGTCGACTGTGGCCGGTGCAACCTAGTCAGGTCGTTTGTGTGAATCTCCGTGTTCTTCCTTCGCCTCAGAGTAGCCGCTCTTCTCCAAATGCCCGAGCCGTTTTCTATGTGTATTTGTCTTGTAGCGAACAGCAGAGTCGAGAAACGAATTGACAATGTCGCCGAAAACCGCGGTCATATGCTGGCCGTCCCTAGTACTACCAATATGCCCGCAGGCGCGGCGAGAGACAAGCTCAACGTATGAGTCACCGTCCGGCTGCCGGGAGAGCCCCTACCGCGACCTTTGTCCACAGTCATGACGTCACGACAATGGGCTCCTAAACGTACGGGCAGCGGCCGCCTCAGGGGTGCCGCCGTAACCTTTGCACGACACGTTCTATAGCGTATGGCACAGCGGTTACTAGGAAGGTTGAGGCCAGCGGCAGGCCGGTTTACAAATAACAAACAAACTTGACGCGCAATTGACAACAGGTAACAGATTGATTAATAAGGCGGTGACAATATAAATAAAAATGACAACATGAAATGACAAATCGCATAGATGACAAATCGCATAGATGACAAATCGCATAGATGATCTCTACAGTACCCCCTCGCCAGACATGTCGCGGACAAAAGTGACATGGCGATATCTTACCGGAGGTCGTATGACGCGGCCGGAGCGGGTCGTCCGTAGTATCGGCCGAGGCTGCAATGGTGCAGCGTCAGCCCGAGCGACGGCTGCAGGACGATTAGGTGCGTCACCGTAGATCAGAAGCTCCGGGCCGCTGGGCTCATTGCTGAGCGGTGGCGCGGCCGGCGGGCCGCTGGACTGAGTACCGTGCGGCTGCACAGTCGGCAGGTCAGACTGTCGATGACCGGATTCGTCTGGCGTCTCCAGGAAGGCGGCCTTACACCGGTCGATGCTGATGACCTCCTTTTTCTGTCGACGGTCGATGGTGATGGTTTTGGTGGTCCTTTCGGTAACCGGGAACGGTCCGTCGTATGGAGCGTCCAGCGGGTAGCGGTGACAGTCCCTGCGCACGAAGACGTGTGTCGCCGTCTGGAGTGCCGTCGGGACGTACGTGGCGCGCTGGACCGGACGTGGGAGTGTCGGCCGCACCTGAGACATGGCGCGCTTCAGGTCCTGTACGAAGCCGGCTGGTGATGCTGCTGAGGCTTGGCTGCTGATGAAGAACTCGCCGGGAAGCCGCAGTGAGGAGCCGTACACCAGCTCGGCTGACGTCGCCTGCAGGTCCGCCTTGATGGTGGAGCGTATGCCCAGGAGCACCAGCGGCAGCACGTCCGTCCATGACGTAGCCTGGTGTGCACGGAGGCTGGCCTTCAGCTGGCGATGCAGGCGTTCCACCATACCGTTGCAGGCCGGGTGGTAGGACGTCGTCCGAGTTCGCTGGCAGCCCAGGAATCGCTGTAGCTCCGACCAGAGGGCCGACTCGAACTGGGCACCTCGGTCCGTCGTGATGATGGACGGAACGCCGAATCGGGCGACCCAGTGCTCGAGGAAGGCGCGGGCGACCGTGGTGGTGCGGCTGTCCGGCAGAGGGATGGCTTCTGGCCACCGAGTGAACCGGTCGACGCACGTCAGGAGGTACGAGTGCCCTCTTGACGGAGGCATCGGGCCGACGAGGTCCACGTGGACGTGGTCGAAGCGTTGCTGAGGTGGCTGGAAGGTGCCGACGTCAGACTTGGTGTGCCGGCCGATTTTGCAGCGCTGACAGGCGAGGCAGGTTCGGGTCCAGCGGCGCACGTCGCGATCCATACCGGGCCAGACGAACCGCTTAGAGACGAGCTTGACGGTGGCCTCGACGCCAGGGTGCGACAGGTCGTGCAGAGCCTTGGCGAAGGGCCGGCGCAGCGCCTCCGGGAGGACCGGCCGAGGCGATCCGGTGGACTCGTCGCAGAGCAGACAGAGTCCATCGCCGACCGGGATGTGGCGCAGGCGCAGTGAGGTGTCTGAGGCCTCGAGGTCTTCCAGCGAGCTGTCTTCGGACTGGGCCTTGGCGATGGCAGTGAAGTCGGCGAGCGGGGGTCGCGGCTGGGCCACCATCGAGACCGTGCGTGACAGCGTGTCGGCGACCACGTTGTCCTTGCCAGGCACATGGCGGATGTCAGACACGAACTGGCCGATGTAGTCCAGGTGGCGGACCTCTCGTGGCGAGTAGCGGTCGGACGAGGAGCCGATGGCCGTTACCAGTGGTCGGTGGTCTGTGAAAATGATTGCTGACCGTCCTTCGATGGCGTGCTTGAAGTGCCGGACGGCCAGGTAGATAGCGAGCAGCTCGCGCCCGAACGTGCTGTATTTCTTCTCCGCAGGTTGGAGCGTTTTTGAGAAGAAAGCGAGGGGCTGCCACTCGCCGGCGACGTGCTGCTGGAGGACGGCGCCCACTCCGCAGTCCGAGGCGTCGACGAAGAGGGCGAGCGGCGCGTCCGGGACTTGGTGTGCGAGATGTGTCGCCGTGGCCAGGGCGTCCTTGACGTTCTTGAAATGCTGCCGCGCCGAGTCTGTCCACGTGACAGGCGCTCTCGAGCGTTTTGCCTTGTGGGTGATTAAGGCGTGCAGAGGCTGCAGGAGCTCGGCTGCCTGGGGGATGAAGCGGTGGTAGTAGGCTACCATCCCCAGGAACCTCCGTAGCTGGGACTGAGTGGTCGGTTCCGGGAAGTCTTTGATGGCCTCGACTCGTCCAGGCAGCGGGCGGACGCCGTCGGCGTCTACCGAGTGGCCGAGGAACACCACCTGCTCCTGTCCCAGGACGCACTTGTGCCTGTTGACGACGACGCCGTAGGTGTTGAGGCGCTGAAGCACTTGGTCCAGGAGCTGCATGTGGTGTTCGGCAGTCGGGCTGGCCAGCAGAATGTCGTCCAGGTAGACGAAGCAGCCCGGTATGCCGCGGAGGACCTCATCCATGAAACGCTGGAAGGTCTGTCCGGCGTTTCTGAGGCCGAACGGCATCCGAACGCATTCGTAGAGGCCGAACGGTGTCGTGATGGCTGTCTTGGGGACGTCGGCAGGTTCCACCGGGATCTGGTGGTACGCCTTCACCAAGTCGATGGTGCTGAAGACGGTGCACCCATGCAGGTCGGCTGAAAAGTCCCGCAGGTACGGCAGTGGGTAGCGGTCTGGTACCGTGCGGGCGTTCAGCGCTCTGTAGTCGCCGCAAGGACGCCACTCGCCGGGTCTCTTCTTTGGCACCATGTGGAGTGGAGTTGTCCAGCTGCTGCTCGACGGTCGAATGATGCCTTGCTGGAGCATCTTGTTGAACTCAGCACGTGCGATTTGAAGGCGCTCCGGCGGGAGGCGTCGTGGCCGCTGGTACACCGGTGGACCCTTGGTGACGATGTGGTGCGTCACGTTGTGCTTCACCGGTGTTGGTCCAGGTTTTGGTGAGGTCACATCCGGGTACCGGGCGAGGACAACTGCGAAGCGAGCAGCAGCCTGCTCCCGGACGAGACGCACTCCGATGGAGCACAGCCTTGACCGCTCGGCGCTGGCGCAGACGGTGCCGTCCCGCAGGAGACGCTGGTTGGCAACGTCCACGACGAGGTGATGTGCGGCCAGGAAGTCGGTGCCCAAGATGGGTGTGGTGACGTCAGTGACGAAGAATCGATGTTTCAGGCAGTGCTGCTGACTCAAGGTGACGTCCAGCAGGCAGGTGCCGTGCACCGCGATCGGTGAGCCGTTTGCCGCGACGAGCTGCTGGCCGACAGGAGCAGGGGTCAGCGTAGACCCGTTGGGCAGGCAGCGGCGAGGCAGCACGCTGACCTGCGCCCCGGTGTCGACTAGAAATTGCCGGTCCGTCTCCGTGTCCCTCACGAAGAGGAGTGGCGCGGCAGGAGGGGCGCCCGTGCTTTGCGCCATCAGCACGGGGCACCTCAGTTTTCCGAGGCGATCCAGGAGCACGGCAGCTTGCATCGGCGCGCTTGGGCGCCGAATCGCTGGTGGTACCAACACAGCGTGTCGTCGTGCGGCGGCGTTGAAGGACGAGCCGGTGACGGGCGGCGTGACTGGCGAGACGCCTGGCGCGGCCGGGAACGGCTGCGGTCGCGCCGCACGGCGTCCTCGAGTCGTCGGTTGCTGGCCTCCAGGCGCTCCATCTTAGCGACCAGGGAGGCGATGACGGTGTCCAGCGCAGGGGTTGCAGCTGGCGCCGGGGCTGTCACTGCAGCAGCGATGGGCGGTGCCGGCTGTGTGTACGGCTGTGCCGCGATCGCTGATAGCCGTGGGTCGGGTCCGCTAGCTTCCAGGTACCGGTCGGCCGCTTCTGCCAGTGCGTCAAGCGTGCTGTCGGCTGGCAGGAGGGCGAGGGCAGCACGGACGGGCTGCGGTAGCCGTTGTTGAAATAGGGTACGGAAGAGCTCCGTATCAACCGGTGCGTCCCCGGCTGCGGCTAGCTCGTTGCGCATTGAGCGCAACAGCGCCGTCGGCTTCTGATCGCCGAGCTGCTGGCGGCCGAGCAGGGCTTGTAGTCGGTCGGCGCGTGACTGTGCCAGGCGGGCTTGGAGCGCTGCACACAGCACGTCAAAAGACCGGGATGACCGGATGACGTCCTTGACCTGGACGGCGATGTTGGCGGGGAGGTTTGCGACGAGGAGCTTAAACCTCAGCTCGTCGGAGTCGACCCCGCTGACGTCGAAAGCGCACTGCACCTGCAGTAGCCACAGGTCGGGCTCTTCCGGAGAGTATGGTGGTAGCCGGAAGCTAGCCATGGGCCGATGAGTTGACTCGGAGGCTGAAGCTGGAACGCTGGCCGAGTCTTGAGCTGCGGCGCCGGACTGTGCGCTGTCCGCGGGCATGACGAGAGGCTAAGGTCGAACAACGGAGATCACGTCGGGGTCACCAATTGTCGTACTGCGCTGTGGGTAGCGCGTGGCTGGACGGACGGTCCGTGACAATCTATTGATCTGTGGCTGATCTATTAGAGTGTCCGTCCGAGAGCCGTACGACGGCTGACAGAGCCTGGGGGTCGCGAACTGGTGTGGTAACCGTTACGCCCACCTGGGACGCCCGAGTCGGTACGGCACTTGCGGTGTCGTAACCGGATCGGCGGGAACCAGCAGAACGCTGTTGGACCGGCGGTGAAAGTCGGAACCGAGCACTCGCCCACCAGTGGGGCGTCTGGTCGAGCAGGTCTACCCGCTAAGGCAGCCTGAGCACGAACCAGTGGCAGGGTCCGATCAATGACCGTGGTCCGACCAGGGTGTCAGCGCAATGGCCAGTCAGAGGCGTCTTTAAGGGCGCAGAAGCCCACCTCGGTCGACTGTGGCCGGTGCAACCTAGTCAGGTCGTTTGTGTGAATCTCCGTGCTCTTCCTTCGCCTCAGAGTAGCCGCTCTTCTCCAAATGCCCGAGCCGTTTTCTATGTGTATTTGTCTTGTAGCGAACAGCAGAGTCGAGAAACGAATTGACAATGTCACCGAAAACCGCGGTCATATGCTGGCCGTCCCTAGTACTACCAATATGCCCGCAGGCGCGGCGAGAGACAAGCTCAACGTATGAGTCACCGTCCGGCTGCCGGGAGAGCCCCTACCGCGACCTTTGTCCACAGTCATGACGTCACGACAATGGGCTCCTAAACGTACGGGCAGCGGCCGCCTCAGGGGTGCCGCCGTAACCTTTGCACGACACGTTCTATAGCGTATGGCACAGCGGTTACTAGGAAGGTTGAGGCCAGCGGCAGGCCGGTTTACAAATAACAAACAAACTTGACGCGCAATTGACAACAGGTAACAGATTGATTAATAAGGCGGTGACAATATAAATAAAAATGACAACATGAAATGACAAATCGCATAGATGACAAATCGCATAGATGACAAATCGCATAGATGATCTCTACAGTCCCTTCGGATGCTGTTGAAGGCGTTGCGCATGTCGATTTTGATGATGGCACTGCCCTCGCCGAGCTCGTCATTGAATCGCCGCGTTGCATGTGCCGCTGCCTCGCATCCGCCTGTGGTGCCATATCCCAGCTGCACTGGACGTAGGAGATCTCCCAGCTCGGCGCTGATTGGCTTCAGAGCCACCTTGGTCGCCAGGCGTCGGTAAGTGTTCCCGACTGCGATCGGTCTCACACCTCCACCTGGTTTCCGGAGCGCTGTTAAGGCGCCGCCGAAGAAGGCATCACGCGCAGAGGCTGGGACGTCACCACTGAGGACAAGGTTCACGAGCGCCGTGAGAGCTGAGATGAGTCGCACGCCAGCTTCCCCGGTGGATCGGGTGGTCAGATCTTTGAGATGGGCTGGTCGTAGGCCGTCAAGACCAGCGCTGGAGCCGGTATCAAAGGAGGCGATACCACTACTTTCCTTTTGCAGTGCTCGAGCCTCGATGACCGGTTAACAGAGCATATGAGTGACCGTAACAATTTTAAATATGCATTGAAACCGCACAACCTGCTGAAAGTGCATTGGCTGCTCCTTGCTACTTGATCCAGTGTGAAGCAAAAGCAAGATGAAGTCAAGTCGAGACTTGAGAAAACAGGAGCCATCACTCGAGCCGAACCCGAGCAAAGCCACAGCAGTTTGCAATGTATAAACCCCATTCACTTCTATGGCTTAAGTCGGGATAGACAGGGCACACAGAGTGGGCTTGCCGGAGTTCAGCCCGCTCGGGCCCAGAGTAATCTCCATTATATAAATGGATTCACTGCTCGGGCTTAAATCGGGCTAACGCCAATCGTCGCTCAACTAGGGCTAAACTACGGCTGTCCGGAGCTCGCAGAGCGGGCATACCTCCGGCAGAGCATGGGCTTTAGTCGGCGTATTTATGTCATACGCCGACTTTAGCCCAAGCCCTAGCCGACTTTAGCCCGACTAAAAATCTCGGGCAATCCGCACTTGAGCCTGCTTGGGCCCGGAGCAAAATTGCTGGCTGGGAATGGGGAGGTCGCAAAATTGACCTGACCTTAGGTCATCGATATCAAAATTCTGAGATATACATTTTGTACATGCTATTGCTCTTAGCCATCGCTGAAAGTTTCAAAGCGATCGGTCACTCGGTGTAGCTATGACAGACATTGAAACTTTTTAAGAGGTGAGGTCACTTCAAGTGACCTGGTGACCTGACCTTGAATGACCTTTGTCTGAAATTTTCGCAACATGTGTAGAATTGATGTATGATAAGGTGTACCAAAAACGGCGGCGCTCCGCGCCGCCGTTTTTGAGATATTCGTGAAAAACCACAAGGGGGGGTGTTCAAACACCCCCCCCCCAGCAGGGCGCGGGTTAAAGTGATGAATGTGAGAGTATATAGAGTAGGCTACAAAAGTGATGTAACAGCTGTTTTTCAGCCTTTCATTATGACAGGCCGGTAAATAAATGTTCATTCAACCACAGAAGACTAGCATTCCTTCGCCCCAATTATTGCCGCCTCAAACCATTGATCGGGTAAAAATAATTCCGGTGCAGGAACCATGAGATGCGTCGTCCTTTGGTCATGCTCTAGGACGAGCAACAGATGCTACTTTCTACCGCAGAAAGCCAAGGCTCTTCGATTTTCTTATTTTTGTCACACCTCGCAAGTCACCATCCCGGCTCACCGTCGCGCAGGTGGGTGCCTAACTGCCTACTGCCTAGGCGCTCGCAATGACACTCTTCAATGGCATTATCTGAAGAGCAGCTCACCGGCACAGTAAGGTGAAACATGACACAAGACGTTATGATCGTAGACTTGGCCTTATTAGTGGTGACTCCGTAATAAGCGGTTTAGAGGCACGAGTGGCGTATGTGTAACATTTAAATGCCAAGATCTGGCAGACCACTTAGAAGAGCATCACATTTTTCGTCTTGGAATGGGCGAGTTGGGCAATTAAGAGTGTTGGTAGGGCAAGGATGTAGTACCGGCCTTGTGCAAGGGTATAACATGAGACACATATGTCTCAGTCATGACGCGATATTTCAGAGTTGCTGTAAGTGTAAATTATAGAGATCCTTACGGAAAGACGCTGGGACTCAGGATGAAGCTGCTGTGATTCTGTGTGCTCTTTTCTTGCTAAATGTGTATTACATTCTAACAATGAATGCCGAGATAAAAGCGATACTCTTAAAATGTGAATAAATTGATGCTGACATATCTCATTAGCGGAAATGTGAAACTATTTTGATAATGAATAGAACCGCTGATAGTTTATGTTAGTTTCCATATGGATTGTCAAATTCATTATAATAAGGTGTAATAACCCGCGCCCCACTGGGGGGGGGC